CTTTTCAGTGGCAGTCCCTACAGAGTTACTCATAAGGCTGTAGTCATTCCCCAAAAGACAGGATATGTTACTACAAAAAAAGGGGGAAGTGGAGACTAGGTGACCCCAAACTAACAAATATTGCTATAGTCACAGCATGTTCATTTTGTTGGCTATCTAAATTACTTTTTAGTAAAAAGAAAAAAAGGGGGGGGAATAAAAACTAGATCACCAACTCTTAATTATAAAAAATGCATATTGGTATAAAATTGAAGAGAAATGGGCTCTAGTTTCAGCCCTTCTCCATGGAGTGCACCACGGGTTTTTGGGTTCTGGTTTCTTTATTCCTAAGGTGATGGTATATGTACTAAATGACCCGTAAGGAGTATTCCAGCAGTAAAATCTCAAAGTTCCCTGTCTTTTTAAATGTAGGAATGTATTTACTTTTACATATGTACATAAACACACCCCATGCGGTCCAGTTTCCAGACTCAAGTGATGAATAGGAATATACACAAACCAAAGTTTAAACAGTTAAGTTTGACTCAATTAGTAATTACAGTTTTTAGCTTGTATTAAATCAAGAAAGATGTGCATTTCAAAAGCTGAAATTCCATAGATATTGACATTTATAAAGAGATAATGATATATTATTGTCTAAGAGTAAAAAATAATTTCAGTTTAAATAGAATTAATCATAAATGACTTTATTTCTACAGTTATTTTATTTTTCCATGACTAAGGGACTACTGAATATTTCTTACTTACCAGAAGGGATAATTATATTTGTTATAAGCTGTTGTATATTTTGTAACACTTTAGGTATAAACTACTGAAGTAGTATAGTAGTTTCATCCTAAACTATTTATTGCTTCCTACTAGCTGTTTTCTTCACCAACTAGGCTAGATGAGAAAGACTTTATAGTATGTATTTTTGATCGCTGAGGAATTGATTCTGATGACTTAGGAAATGCAGCTGCTTTGTTTCATTGTGGGTTTTTTTTTTTAAACTATTTTTTAAACGTTAACCTGAATTATATTATCAAATAAAAACAAGAATCAGAAGTTCCTTCATTATGATTACATATAACTTTCTATGTGGTATGGCTCTATATTGAGTTAACAGGTAGCTTCGTTTGTAGTCACTTCACAGTCTGTGAGGTCAGTTGCCTGTCTCTTACTTGAAAACTCTCATCTATAAGGCCAAGATTGCTTATCTACACTGTCTATTAACAGGAAACCCAACATACGGTCTGTAGTTCCAAGTAAAGGACAGAATGAAAAGCAGGGGTTGTTAACAGAAAGAGCACTAATCCAAGGTGTTAAACATAGACAGGATTTCTAAGGAAGTCTTGACTGTCTAATAAAAACTTAAGGAATTCTTATACATAAATAAACTTAAAATAATTTTGTATATATACAAAATTATTTTAAGTTTATTTATCTTGAGGGTGTGTGTGAGCTGGGGAGGAGTGGAGGGAAAGGGAGAGAGAGAATCCCAAGCAGGCTCCATGCCGTCAGTGCAGAGCCCAACATGAGGCTTGAACTCATGAACCGTGACATCATGTCCTGAGCTGAAATCAAGAGTTGGATGCTTAATCGACTGAGCCACCCAGGTGCCTCTATACAAAATTATTTTATCTTTATCATTCAAAAGTCATTCTTACATATTTTAGGAGATGAGAAATATAGAGAGAATGATTAGATCATCAGACTACCAACCAAACATGAGCCGACCATGATGCCTTCTTAAACAGCAAACTTTAGACACACATTGAGTATGGAAATAATCGAGTGTATCTCCATTTTTTAAAAGAAGAAATCAGAATAATGTCCTGGAAGAAGAATGATGATGATGATGGTGGTTGTGATGATTTATAATAATCCCTAGTTAATGAGTGTTCCACATACTCTTCTCATTCCTTTATGTATATGAATTCATTTAAGTGTCCTATATTCCTATGAGATAGGAACTCTTAGTGTCACCATTTCATAGATCAGGAGATAGGCACACATAAGTTGAGTGGCTTGTCTAAGGTTCACAGCTAATTAGAGCAGAATGGGACTTGAAATAAGAAGCCTGGTTCACAGTTCATGCTTTAAAACACTAAGCTATGTTATGCTAAGTGAAATAAGTCATACAGAGAAAGACAGATACCATATGTTTTCACTCTTAGGTGGATCCTGAGAAACTTAACAGAAGACCATGGGGGAGGGGAAGGAAAAAAAAAAAGGGAGAGAACCAAACTATAAGAGACTCTTAGAAAACTGAGACTAAACTGAGGGTTGATTGGGGGGGGGGGGGGGGGGGGGAAAGAGGGGAAAGTGGGTGATGGGCATTGAAGAGGGCATCTGTTGGGATGAGCACTGGGTGTTGTTGGAAACCAATTTGAAAATAAATTTCATATTAAAAAAATAAAACACTAAGCTGTATTGTCTCTGTAAGAAGACAAAACAAAAGTAAGATAAAATGTGTATGATTTAACCTTATATTGTCAGCTATTTTTAATGCTACATATTGAGAGTATTTTCAAAGTTTTCATTAAATACTAGTTACTTTTTTGGCTTCTTGCTCACCAGCTATACCTGGATGACTGAAATTTCTCCTATGTTCAGTTGAAGGAGATTGATAGGTTTTTAAACCCACACACAAAAAAATGACTAGCTGTTACAAATTTGGCTTAATTAATAAATTCATAATTTCTTTGGTAACACATTATAATAATTGCCCATACTACTACTCTATAGTAGCTAGCTATCTGTATTAATAGATACTAAGTCTCTATTGTAACTTTACATTTGCAGAATTTTCACTAGAAAAAATCTGGCTTTCAAATATGAACGTTTATAGCAGCACTGTCAGCAATAGCCAAATTACAGAAAGATCCCAGATATCCATCGACTGACGAATGGATACAAAAGATGTGGTATAAATATACAGTGGAATACTACTTGGCAATCGAATAGAATGAAATCTTGCCATTTGCAACAATGTGGATGGAACTGGAGTGAGTTAGGCTAAGCGAAATAAGTCAGAGAAAGACAAACATCCTATGATTTCATTCATATATAGAATTTAAGAAATAGACGAACATAGGGGAAGGGAAGGAAAAATAAGATGAAAACAGAGAGAGAGGCAATCCATAAGAGACTTTTTAATAATTTTTTTAATGTTTATTTTTGAGTGAGAGAATCCAAAGCAGGCTACAGGCTCTGAGCTGTCAGCACAGACCTGATGTGGTTCTTGAACTCACGAACCCGAGATCATGACCTGAGCCAAAGTCAGACACTTAACCAACGGAGCCACCCAGCTGCCCCCATAAGAGACTCCTAAATACAGAGAACAAACTGAGGATTGCTGAAGGAGTGTTGGGTGGGGGATGGCCTACGTGGGGGATGGACATTAAGGAGGGCACTTGTTGGTATGAGCACTGGGTATCATATGTAGGTGATGAATCACTGGGTTCTCCTGAAACCAATACTACCCTGTAAAATAACTAACTTGGATTTAAATAAATACTTTTTTTAAAAAGATGCATATATCTCCATGGAAGTTGGTTTGATTCTGTAGGTTATAGATTCAAACTGAGGATACAGGGACCCTACTCAAAATCAAGATTGTAGAATTAACTTTGTGTCATTATTTGGGTCATACAGTATATAGGATTTATCATAGTATGTTACTGTAATTACATATGAACTACACTAGGACATTAATATAAATCTACTGTAAGGAGAGGAACATGGTCTTAGAGGAGGATGACACTCTCTTACCACCTCTGTGACTTGTGCCAGATTACTTAACTCTGATCTTTGTTTCCTCAATTCTAAACTGGAGGTAAGGTTTCTTCTTTGAGATACTAATGAGCCTGCACTTACAATATTTACACTTTGGTTGGTTGCCACATTCATTCTCAAAGAGTGAAAGTTTCCCCCAATCTGAAAATGGTTTGCATTTTTCCAGATTTTCAGTGTTTAGACTCATAGATACTTAACATTTATATAGTACATATGCTTTAAAAAGAAAATCCCTCGGTTATAAAAGGCAAGTTTTAATATGGTTTAATATAACATCCCCTTGTAGTACAAATTTCTATTAAAAGGAAGAAACAGGGGCGCCTGGGTGGCGCAGTCGGTTAAGCGTCCGACTTCAGCCAGGTCACGATCTCACGGTCCGTGAGTTCGAGCCCCGCGTCAGGCTCTGGGCTGATGGCTCGGAGCCTGGAGCCTGTTTCCGATTCTGTGTCTCCCTCTCTCTCTGCCCCTCCCCCGTTCATGCTCTGTCTCTGTCTGTCCCATAAATAAATAAAAACGTTGAAAAAAAAAAATAAAAGGAAGAAACAAATTTATATGGATTTTCCATTGTGGTGATAACTTGAATTAAACATAAGCTGCATTTTTTTTTTCTTATGTATAGTCTTGTTGAAAATGTTTGTGACTCCCTGAAATGTTGCTGTTTCATAGATAGAATATTTTGAACTTCAATGAGAATTGGACTGATTTTATGTGTCAAAAAATACTGATTAGATATATTCACAGAATAATTAAATCAGAGGAATGTTCACTCTACCTAAACATTTTTTCCTAAGGCTCCAAATTAAAGTTACCTTAAAATGGCATCTAGATACGTTTTAATCTTTAGAAATCTTATTCTGGGATCTGCGTGGAGTTTCGGTAATCTCATAAATGTTTTATTTTCCTGTTGGCCAGGTACTTCTGAGTCCCACCCCTTGGTTACTGTAATAATCTGTCTTAGATACTGCAGTGTATTGCTCCCTACCTTAGCTACAGTTAAGTTGTGGCTTTAGAGTTCTCGTTATTTTTCATTCCTTTTAACCTTTCTATCAGAGCAACATGTGAGAGATGTTAGTAGTTCTGATTGGAGTCGAAGTAACAATAAGGAAAGACCCCTACTATAGGTCTCCAGACACTTCTGTTTCAATTCAGGTGTTTCCCCTGTCACCATGCAACCTCCTGTGGTAAATATGACTGACTGCTCTTTTTTCTTACGGTCTTTTAAGCAAAGTAAAGCAGCAGTTCGGCTGAAAGAAGACATGAAAAAGATAGTGGCAGTGCCACTAAATGAGCAGAGAAGTTCCACGTATAAAAAGCTATTTGGAGTCAGTCTCCAAGACCTTCAGCAGCAGGGACTCACTGAGAACGGCATTCCAGCAATAGTGGGGAATATAGTGGAGTATTTGACGAAACATGGTAAGTTATGTTTTAATTCTGGTGTTTTTACAGTTCTCGCATACCAGAAGAATGTTTTTGTGTGAACTACTTCACAGTGTATTAGAATAGTCCCTAAAACACCTTAATTAGGATACAAATTATGTAATACATCTTTTCCCTTAAAAAAGGACATTAAGAGCATTATTACTGCTTAATATAATTTTGAAAGTACTATTCAGTTTACCATGGACCAATTAATCGTTGAGATTTCTAGTTTGGAACGATCCCAGTTTTGAGTTCTAAAATACACTGTTCTAATATTACTAGTGACTTCTCTTGATTTCATTAAATTCCAACTGATACTAATTTTTAGTGTAATAACACTTTTGGAGTATCTTTTTCAGCTGAGGCCAATCATGAGCTTACTGGATGCTTTGATTGCTTTCATAGCTCAGTAGGGATAGTTTAAAAAGGTATGATATATAGCCTATTATGGGGGGTCATTTACTTTTGAAGTGATATAATTAAACATGTAAAACAATTGGAGAATACCATAGTTCATTGAATGATAAAAAGATAAATCTGTTATTGAGAGCTATCTTACGGCTCTATTTAAATGATTTTATTTAAACTAGGATGTAAAAACCTGGATAAGTAGAAATTCTTTCATATCCTCGATATTCATGCTTTTCAAATGAGGGTGCAGTATTATGGGAACACCCCAAACTGCATAATAAATATCAATAAGCTTTAGAAGTTTTGAGAAGGACGTATTCTGAGGGAAAAGCTTGGAATTTTCATTATTTTCTATACTGAAGCAACATTTCTACATGAAAGACTCACTGCAGAGTGGAGCTGAAACTTAGTTGGAATTTTTAAAGTTAAAACTTGAGACTTCAGAGGTATTCTGTACTTTGTGCAGTTTGCTTCCTTATCTTCTGATGATTATGGGTCCATCCCCCAGCCCCCACCTGCCGCTAAGATCCTTCACTGGGAATACGTGAGAAGCACAGTGTATCTGTTCCTCTGTAGGAACGTGAATCAACTTGTGACAGGAATGGTATGGCACGTAGTTCAGACCTCAGAAGCTCAGGTGTTTGTGTTAACTGAAAAACAGCTATTTGCCCAGGTTACTAGTTATGTAGATGCCAAAATGATATTTTGTTCTGAAGACTGAAGAGCCAGGCTTGCATGTTTACTTCATAGGAGCTATCTCTGTATTTTTAGAGGATGATAAGCTACAGACAGGTAGGATTCTTAGGGAACAGCTCTGGGTTTATAACAATACTTTAAATAGGTTAAACAAAAAAGGTGCCATATACATCATGGCATGACGATGGGACCTCAGCCTGAGGATCTTGAAGACAGGTTATATTAATTTAGGATTTTGAAGGACTCAAACACTCAGTATTGATTAAAACTGTGTCCTACTGATTTAGATACAAAGGATCTCTAGGTAATTAATTTAATCTCTTAAATAAGGTTGAGTATTATTCATTTGGATACCAAAGTGTGACTACTTAAAATATTTTGGTTTTAGCATAGTCAGTGTTCTGATCTTTCATCCAACAATGACTAATAACCTCTTGGGATTACTCTTATGTAATAATCACTTTTGTTTTTAAGTTTTAAAAAAATATCGAATAGTTAATATACTTATGTAGTACAAAATACAGGAGGACATACAATTTAAAATCTCTCCCTCCAAAACCTGTCCCCTGATCATTCATTATCAGTATTACTTCCCAGTAATAGTATTGCTTCACTAGTGTCTGATATATTCCTATGAAGATATTTTATGAATATATAATCATATATGCATATCTTCTTTTTTCCCTTTGAACATAAATATAGCATATCATCCATACTGTTATGAATCTTTATAGAAAGTCATTTAGCAGTATATTGTGGAGATCTTTCCATATCACATAAAGAGCTTTATTCATGTAATTATTTTTTCCCCTTGTACAATGTTTGACTGTATGTATTATTTCTTTAAGCAGTCACATGGTGATGAATATCGAATTTTACCCAGTCTTTTGCTATCTATAAACAATGATTCAGTGACTAAACTTTAACATGTGTCATTTCAAGCACTATGAGTGTATCTGTAGACTCCTGGGTCAGAGGATATGTGCATTTATAATCAACTCTAAGAGTTGAACGAGTTAAATTCACAGCATCAGTGTATGAAATTTTGACAAAATATGAATTAGATATTCTGTTTCATGTTACCCATAGTTCTACCTTAACAGGGTGTATTCAGGTAATGCAAACTAAATATTTTAATGGGCTAAATCATTCATTCTTAATTAGGAATGTAAAATAGAAAATCTATTCTTAACTAGAAATGGGAAATAGAATTTCTAGTGGAATATTTTCAGAATATCCATCCCTTGATGATAGTTTAGATCCATGGAATCTGAATCTTGGCTTGGCAAGCTAAGGTAGGTAGGGCACCTACCCTATATTTTGAAAGGCCACATAGTTAATTACTGTGTAGACAACTAAAAGGTCCTTATTGTGTCTGAAACTATCATGTTAATAAACCAAAACCCTTGTATAAGTTTGAAGGGTAGTATAAAGTTTGTGAGCAAGATACTTCAATTAGTTTCATTAATTTTTTTTTACATCAATAGATATTTATTGTGTATTACTGTGTATTACACAATATAATAGGCACTCCATCAGGAATGATTGGTTGTATCATTTAAGCCTAGGTAGATACTGGGGTCGTACTTTGATGTTTAATATAAATGGAGACCTTTAATAACTTCAGGGAAAACTCTTTGTTATAAAAGAATTTTAGGACAAAAAGGGTTTGTTAAGGTTTATAGGAAGGCTTTTAAAAAGACTCTGAACTTTTTTCTTTACATATTTTGCCTTTTTAAAAATTTTTTTTCCCATTGGAAGGAAAATATTACAAGTTATAAGGCATATCATTTTCACACTATTTTAAAATAACTAATCTTGTTGACAATGTTACTGGATTCCTTTAGCATGAAGATACTGTGGAATGTACCATTTTAAATAGTGTAGGACTCTCCATCTACCACCAGGTGGCAGAATATGCTCATGTACTGTCCTAGTACTTTCTGGGCCAAAGTGTTCCAGTTTAAAAAAAAAAAAAAAAATTGTTTATTTTATTTTTGAGAGAGCACGAGTGGGGGAGGGGCATAGAGAGAGGGTGACACAGGATCCAAAGCAGGTTCCAGGCTCTGAGCTGTGAGCACAGAGCTCGACGCGGGGTTCAAACTCACAAACCATGAGAACATGACCTGAACCAAAGTTGATGCTTAACCAAATGAACCACCCAGGTGCCCCCCCTTTTTTTTTTTAATTTTTTTTATGTTTATTTTGCAAAGCATGCCAGTTAAGAAATTCTGACTTATGGCACACTTAGTTTCTAACGACATATGCATACTATTTTGAAATAAATACCTCAGTTGTATGGAAAAGTGACAATCAATGGTGTAGATACATTTTAGTTTATATAATTCTTTCATTTTTAAACCAATAATTAAGTTATTGCTTCATGATGTTTATCCCATAACCCCTGAAATCGAATATAAAGGAATCCCAGAAATATAGGAGAGTAACTCCACAAAGCCTTCTAACATCTCCTTCCTCTGGACATTTCTTTTAAAATCATCTATTTCCTAAGAATTTAGAGTAGGAAAATTGAGAGATTGCATAATCTGGTAAGCCTCATGGGTACTGGATATATTATAAATCCATAAGGGGCTTTTTAAGAAACTGTATGGATCTTTTCCCCAGAGTATAATGGAGCCTTGTCCAAGGGTAAATTGTCCCTAGTTGAAAATCACTGGGTATAAGAATTGTTTGGGTGAGAGATGTTTTTGAGGGGAGAGGGTCATACAAACAAATGAAATAGGGTCAGAAAAAAATAACTGAGAAGCATTAAATGACTTCCATTTATACCTTATCTCTCCACCAGTAAAGGCCAGTGGGATCAGGGACCTTGAAAACCAAAGCTAGTTCTTGGAGCTGGGTAGTTATTTTCGAATAACTGGAAATATTTATTTGAGGGAAGGGTCAAAAAGCCTTGTTGGAAAAGAAAACCTTAAGGTCAAAGCTAGAAAAACACTGTGAAATCAGGTCCAAGAGGCATTTTCTGGCCAAGAAAAAGCTGCAGAGCTGGGTAGATACAGGACTGGGATGCAGAACTCTAAATTTTCATGATTTGGGCCTTGGGATGGGATTCTCTTTTGGGGGTGCTATCTGCTTGATGGCAGTACACAATTGTGAAGTTATAGATAAAGCTGGTAGAATGGAAGAAATAAACCTTGAAAGCTTTAAAAATGAGTTAAACAGGAAGTCTCTCAATAACTGATATTCTTCAATATTCAAGAGAATGTCTTATCATAATAGTTAACTGTTGCTGTGTAACAGATTACCCCAAAGCACAGTAGCTTTAAAACAGCAGTATTTATTATCTCAGTTTCTGTGGGTCAGGAATCTGGGCACGGTTTAGTTGTGCTTTCTGTCCTGGGTCTCTTATAAAGCTGCAGTCATAATAGTACTTGACTAGGAGAGGGTTCACTTCCAAGTTCACTCACGTGGTTGTTAGCAGGATTCAGTTCCTTGTGGACTGTTGACCTGAGGGTCTCAGTTACTCACTGGCTGCTGTCCAGAAACTGCCCTCAGTTCCTTGCCACATGGACCTCTTCATAAAATAGCTAACAAAATAAAAAGCAGCTGATTCATCAGAGTGAGCAAGCCAGCAAAGCCAGAGAGAGAGAGAAGTAAGATGAACGTCAGTCTTTTATAACCTAATTTCAAACACGAGATTAGAACCTTAACATAATTTTGTTTGTTATATTCTGTTAGAAGCAAGTCATTAGATCCAGATCACAGGTGAGGGGAAGGGATTACACATGGGTGTGGAAACCAGGAGATGGGCATCACTAGGGTGATTTGAGAAGCTGCCTACCACACATACTGGCTGGTATTTCCTCTCATTACATGGTGCCCTGGTCATATTGGTTGTTAAATACTTCAAATATCCTCTCTGGTTTCCCAAACTTTTGTCAAAATTGGAGCTAAAATTCATGTCAACTTTTGATATCCAAATTATAAACACACACACACACACACACACGTGTATAAATATGTGCATATATGTATATACACATATAGTTATAAATATACATACATATACATTATGCAGATATCTTGGGGCTCCTGGGTGGCTCAGCCGGTTAAGCCTCCCACTGTGGCTCAGGTCATGATCTCATGGTTCGTAAGTTTGAGACCCACGTCAGGCTCTGTGCTGACCGCTCAGAGCCTGGAGCCTGCTTCGGTTTCTGTGTCTCCCCTTCTCCCTGCCCTTCCCCTGCTTGCACTTCGTCTCCTTCTGTATCTTAAAAATAAATAAACACTGAAAAAAATTGATAAAAAAATAATAAAATAAATGCAAACATCTTACCAGCCTATGAACTCTGTAAGGATAATGGTAGTGTTTGAATTTATTTTTTCAAAGATTTTTTTTTAAGTTTCTTAACACAATGCAAAGTACTCATTAAATATTTTTTAAGTTGAAGGGTTCATAAAATTTTTTATCAAATTACAAATTAAAATGAAATTAGCTTTCTTCTTTTTCTTTAGAAAGAACAATACAACTAGCATGTAAGAGAAAGAAGCGAAAGCTGATATAAACAAACAACTTACATCTGAATAATTCTAATGGGCTTCAGTGCCCTAAGTCATTGCTAAATTTCACCATTAGACTCTCAAAAGAAGAGTGGTGCAGTTGAGTCCTTGGGTTGCTCTTTACTAGAAAGATTGTTTCTTATACCTTCAGCATGCCTCCACAGGCTGGCTTACTTTCTTACATGGTGTTCTGTCTCCTTAAACCCCAGTACACTGAGCTGGAAATCATTACCTTTCCCCTGAACCTGGTACTGTCTCTCACCCCCACTTCACCTTATCCTTTACAGTGCTTTTTCCTGGATTCCTCGTTTGTAAACCTTAAAATTACCTTTCAACTCTTCCTTATTTCCTTTTTGTACTAAGTTACCAAATCATCTTTTTTCTCTACTTTTCACTTCCTTCCCACCAGAATCTGTCTTACTGCCTTAGAGTAAAATGTGGTTCCCTAAGGCAAGCTTTCTGCCCTCTCCGTTCTCTACTTAGCTAGCAAGATCCTCCTTACCCCTTGATTTTATCATGTTCCCCCTACTCCTTAATGCTCTCATGATAAAGTCTTCGCTTGTTTTTCAAGTAGGCTCTATGCCCATTGTGGGGCTCAGTCTCATGACCCTGAGGTCAAGGGTCACATGCACTACCAGCTGAGCTAGCCAAGAGCCCCATGTCTTCACTCTTGAACTTGATATTTGTGGCTCTATCCCATTTCTTCCATTTTATTACCCTATCACTCTTTGACAAAAACTTTCCACACTTTCATCTGTTTATCTTCCTTTATGCTGTCCTGTCTATGCAATTCATATATTCATTCTTTCTCAAGGATGAATCACGGTCTTCTGTGTCCTGCTGCTTAACCCTTTGAGGGCCCTTTTTAGGAAAAAGAATACAAAATTAAGAATACAGAATTAGGGACAGAACATTGGAAAGAGCCTAAATAAATGAGGGACCCTGAAGCTTGAACTGCATTAGCTTCACAGTTCATCAGCCCCAGTCTTCCTGATGCTTTTGCCAAAGATGGTGCACAGCAGCCAAAGGCTCTTTTATGGAGGCTTCTCTGCTGCTCCAGCCGACAATAAGATCCCCCATCAATTGGGGGACGGCAAGGATCTTGTCTTATACTACCTTATAGTCTCATAGAGTGTTATCCTCTGAATTTAGTGATCACAAAGGAAATATTTCTTATTTATTACAAAGGTAATCACATACAGTTAAGTTTCTCACATATGTGTTGTTTTGTTTTTTTGTTTGTTTGTTTTTTTTTTCACATAGTTGTTTTCAAAATGCTAAGGTGCTGTTGGAGCCCAGGGTCAGTTTCTGTTATGTACTACAGAAGGTTATAAATGCAGTTTCTTTGTAGAAGAGCATTTGTTCTAGTTTTCTATGTGTCCTAACCTTGTTTTTAGAGGTCAGCTTTTATCACAATCCTATATGATCTTTTTAGTTGATACATAGTAGATTTGAAAATTTATTATTCTAGCAAAGCATTTTTATAAAATATGAACATCTCCCAGTAGGTGATAATTATTTGGAAAATCCTGCACTGAAATTTATTTTCTGTTGTTGTTATGGTTCTTTAGAGTTTTAGTGTCTGTTTGTGAGAGACCTCTATTTCTTTTCTTGCATGTCTGCTCACCTGCCCCAGGACTCACCCAGGAAGGCCTTTTTAGGGTGAATGGCAACGTAAAGGTGGTGGAACAGCTCCGATGGAAGTTTGAGAGCGGAGTGCCGGTGGAGCTCGGGAAAGACGGGGACGTCTGCTCAGCAGCCAGTCTGTTAAAGCTCTTCCTGAGGGAGCTGCCAGAGCGCGTGATCACCTCGGCCCTACAGCCTCGATTCATTCAACTCTTCCAGGGTTAGTGCACTTAAATACGTCCAGCACTTCAGGCGGCTTTATGTTTTGGTTAAAACTAAGCCTTTAAATATTAAACACCTAAATTTCAAATATTAAGAGAAACTTTTAAATATTAGTGGTTTCTCCACAACATCCATTTTTCTATTTTACTCTAGGCCCTCATTTTCTACCCTAAAATAATACTAAACGGATTATGAAATGCCACCATTAAGTGTACTAATACTGAAAAACTCTAATGTTTGTGGGCCAGAGAAATTCTTTTCTGGCGAGTAGCTATCATAGAAGGAGTGGAAATAAGGCATTAAATTCTGTAGGAGATATTAATTAAGTTGTATTTGGTTAGTGACCTTTGAGACTGGAGGGTCAACAGTGGGCTGTGTTTCTCGCCTAAGCAAGATTGAGTCCTAAAACAATTGTGTTCCTTTTACACAACTGGAGGAAAATTGATTTTTGATTGCATGATGAAGTGATCTTAAGTGAAGAAACTTCATTTTTTTTTGTTTTGGTATTTTTATTTATTTTTTTAATTTACATCCAAGTTGGTTAGCATATACACAACAATGATTTCAGGAGTAGATTCCTTAATGCCCCTTACCCATTTAGCCATCCCCCCTCCCTCAACCCCTCCAGTAACCCTCTGTTCTCTATATTTAAGTCTTTTATGTTTTGTCTCCCTCCCTGTTCTTATATTATTTTTGCTTCCCTTCCCCTATGTTCATCTGTTTTGTATCTTAAAGTCCTCATATGAGTTAAGTCAAGGTAGTAACTATAGGCATAATCATTATTTAGTTCTCCTTCCTAAATATAGTAAGAACAATGATTTAGTCTTGAAAAGCTATTTTATTCTTATTTTTGCCAAGTTAGAGTGAAAAAGAGAAAATATATTTGTAAGAGTGTTAATTGCCAGATTAAAAAGGATGTTACTTAAAGCCACATTCCTCTAAAGTAGCAGAGTAATTATTCTCATGTAGTATATGTACTAAAGAATGGGTATGCTAGAAGGCCATGTTGTACGTTGTATTCTATTTGAAAAATCATGATTATATATGAAAGTACAAAATACAGAACCATTTGTTCTGGTTATTTCAGTATTTTAAGCTTTCTATATCAGTAAGTGCAAGTGACATATTGGAGGCTTGTTCATTAGAAACTGAACTTTCTGAGGCACCTGGTGACTCAGTCGGTTAAGCTTCCTACTTCGGCTTAGGTCGTGATCTCACAGTTCGTGAGTTCGAGCCCCTCATCAGGCTCTGTGCTGACAGCTCAGAGCCTGGAGCCTGCTTCAGATTCTGTCTCCGTCTCTCTCTCTCTGCCCTTCCCCAGCTTGCACTCTGTCTTTCTCTCTCAAAAACAAACATTAAAAAAAAAAAAACTAAAAAAAACCAAACAACTTTTTCACGTTTACATGTGTGAGGATTTCAAGGGGGTAAACATTACTCCCTAAATGATTCTGGTAAGGAATATATTATCCTTGTCATGGAGATATTAAATTTCTGAAAATCATTTAAATATAATTAAATGATTAAATATAAATGATATATAATATAATATATAATATAATATAATATAATATAATATAATATAATATAATATAAATGATAAATATAAAAATAAATGATTAATTAAATAAATTTCTGAAAATCATTTAAAAATAATTGCTACAAAAGCTAGTTGAATATTTAAATATGTGCTTTATACAAAATAATTAAGAATCAAATATATAGTATTAAGAATCTTTATTAATATTATGTCTTAATATTAGATACTAATATTAATACTTGTGAATACTTGTGAATTTTAAAAGGTTTTATCACGTTTCTTAGAACAGCTTACATTTGATTAGGAGAATGCACTGTTTTATTTTTATTAATTACATTGTAGTGATATTTTGTAATAATTTTGGTCTTTGTACAATATGTTTTCATTCATGACCTCTTTCCCTGATGGCCAAAAAGCAAATGCTGTCATTTTAAACGTAAGACTGGCTATATACTCAAGCAGTTGTGTGATTATGCACAAATAACAAATTCTAAATGGGGCAGAGACCCTAACATTTGCCTTAGTGGTGGTAGTCTCTCATTTCCTGAAAACCTCTGGGGCTACATCTGATAGGTTCAATAAAGGAAGTATTAATGAAGGTACCTACTAGGGATAAGCTGCTAAGTGAGGGGAGGAAATAAAGTATGCTTTAGGTATCAGACAGTATAGCCTCTTGAAAATAAATTTTTCTTTCCTAATTCAGGTGGTGGAAAAAGAAAGAAAAGCAGTGGTGCTTCTGTCGGTTTCTGCTGTATTTGGTATTCTTAGAGAAGAGGGTACACGTGACAACAGGTCACTCGAAAGCTGGAAGTGGCAAGGCTCTTCACAGACTCAGTAAAGGCAGAAGTTACACTTGGCCAGTTATATTCTCCTCTCCCCTTTTTCACTAGACATTATTTTGATAAAACTTCCTTAGTAAAAACTACCCTGCTTTTATATTTCAGTCCTCATGACAACAGATTAAGCAGCTTTTAGATTCTGTCACAACCCTCTGCCAGATTTCTTTTCTAAAAAGTGTTAAGGGCCTTTGAGTTCTATCCTGTGTAAAGAGCAAGCTATTTGATCATTGAACATACTTAGTTTTCCAGATCAAGATCCTCTCTTTCATGCTTTACAGAATTCTGGAGCCTCAACTAGGTATTTTTTCAAGACATTGAAGCTAAACCAACAGTTGCATTGAGGATAGTCTGAATGCTGCATGGAAGCATCCCTGCTGCTCTAGGTCATCTTTTGATCATGTAAACCAACAATGACCTCTGGGTGGAAGGACACCATTGAGATTCTTTCACTAATAACAGATTTTCAACTTTAGACTTGACTGAGGTCTGAAGTTCTGAGATTCTATTTTAGGTTAGCATACCAAGATTTCTGCATACCAGATGTTTATCAAAAACTTCCAACTAAAGTTGACGTCTGCCAGAACCTTTTGCTTGAGTCAAAGCCCTGGTTTAGACAATTCACACTGAAGAGAGGCCATAAAGGACTTGAGTGATCATCCTTTCTTGTTGCCATGTTAAACTTCCCTCCCACTGCGACCACTCACTTTTCTTGATTGAGGTTTTAGCTTAATTGCCTCAGCTTGGCAATGTTCCATTTTTTTTTTTCTTATCCTTATCTTGGTGGGCCAGTAACATGTCTAGTTTTTATTTTAACAATCGCACATATGTTTTGGGAATAGATGTGGATTGCAAGCAATAAAAAGGTTTTAGGATAGCATTCATTTCATTTAGGATTAACTAGAAACCCCTTTATCTGAAAGTTCCCTGTTAGAAATCTTCTGTAATATAAATACAAGTATCTCTATGTCACAACAAAATTTTTTTTTCTTACTTGGTGAGTTGGAATTGGATCAGTCCATCAATATTTATTTAGTACCTTCTACTTGGATACAGAATGATACCAAGAAATAAAAGATTAAACATCCTGACTTAAAGGAGTGTGTGATTGGAGGAGGTAGAATGTGTGTGGTATACATTCTACAGTTCTTCAAATGAGTATTAAGAATATCCTGTCAGTGGTAACAAGAGAGGGGAAATCAGTCTGGATTATGGTGGTCAGAGAACACTTTGTGGAAAAAGTAAACTGGGGTGCATAAGATGACTTTGGATGGAGAGGAAAATCATCCAGGTGAGGAAAAGGGCACGAACACAAAAACATTGTCCGTGGAAAAGAGAAATGTCTGGCAGAGCTGTCAGTAGGTAGCTACAGGAGATTAGCACATGATATTGCCTAAAAAGTAGAAAGAGACTAGATGGTAGAGCGTATCGAATGTTAGGTTAAGGAATCAATATTAACCTACAAACAGTAAATTTTTGAAGAAAGAAGTCATAGGATGGAAGCAGTATTTTAAGTGATGCTATGTAAGATGGATGGATGGGAAGAGGCTGCATGCAGGGAGAATATCTAGAAGACTGGCAGAAACGGAGGTCTCCATGCTAAGGACCTGTCTCTGACAAATAATTGGCAGTGGAATTTTTTTTAATTGAGGTAAATACATGTAATATAAAATTGACTATTTACCCACTTTTACCTGCACACCTCTGTGGCATTAAGTGCATTCCTATCCATCTCCAGAACTTTCTCAGCATCTCAACAGAAACTGGTAATGGAATTTTAAAGAAAACATAAACAGAACAGGGTGGCCAATAGTTAGATAATGAGATTAAGAAAGGGGTCAAAGATAACCAGAAGGTTTTGAGTTTATGTGACTTAAAGAACGGGAGGGGTAGTGTGGTGGCTGGATCCTGATGCCCATACCTCTGAGGAGGGCCACAGGGCCAGAAGGCCAGTTTGTCACACTGTTGTGAATAGAAACTAATAAATCAGGAAGAAAGTTTTAAGACTAGGTTGAAGTAGCACCAGGGAGAGCTCCCTGCTAACTCAGTGCTTTGAGGAGACCCAAGGCAGCTGTTTTTTGTTTTGTTTTATTTTTGTCTTCAGTAATTCAGTCTTTTCTGTCTGTACCGAGGGTGGGTCCTTTACTTATTAAAATGCTTCCGCCTGTCAGACCTGATCTTTTGTCCCGAAAGGAAGCATAGACATGAACTTTCTAGGAACGTTTTGTGGCTGACGAATGCTCCTTCCCTATCTCCAGGTAGGATCTGGGACTTATGCCAAAGACTCAAATGCTATTAGCTTGGTAGGTTCTGGTGATCTCTTTATTAATTGTCTATCTCAGATCCAGCTGTTGCTATTGAAGAAGGAAGAGAGATCCTGGTGTGGCATCTTGACAATTGGTCCATTAATAACAGATAATGAAAGTCACAAGGGGAAGGTACTTATTGGGCCATGAAGAGGAGCTTATTTTAAATAGATGAATAAAATGAATGTCAGTGCTTAGGAGAAAGGGATGAAGGCTAAAGATGTGAATTTTATAGTCCTCTATGTAGACTCATCCAGACAAAAGAAATTTATTTTATCACCACAGTTCTGAAGGCTGGAAGTCCAAGATCAAAGTGCCT